CCCCAAGCCAGCTCGGCCATACAAGCGCGAGTCGTCACCAGACTGCTGCATATARAAGAGGCTGCATAAAAGAGGCTGCATATAAAAGAGGCTGCATAAAAGAGGCAGCATAAAAGAGGCTGCATAAAAGAGGCTGCATAAAAGAGGCTGCATAAAAGAGGCTGCATAAAAGAGGCTGCATAATAAAAACCCGAAAGCTGCATGAAAACGGCTCCATAAATTTCAAAGCACCATTTGACAAAATTAAGTCTCCAATATTGATAAAAACAGCTCCATTTTAATATCGGATGCTTCATGTTCAAAGCATCATTTCAAGAAAAAAGCTCCATTAATGAAATTACAAGCTCCATCTTTAGAGGATCATAAACATAAACCAGTAGCTGAATATTGGCGGTAATGGCACCCCATACTGTTTGATATTCCCGCTCTAAAACATCGGCAACAGAGCCTGGGTTTCAGTTTATCAGTACGATCCCTTGAGCTTGGATTGGGCAGGATGATGGGTGGGATCGGCATTTGATGTGAGGAACACACAGGGGAATCTTGGTAGTAAGAGAAATCGAAAGGAATCGCGTAAAATAGGGAGCAAATCTCGTGAAGGCACTCGACTTACACACCTACAGACTCGAATTTTTGGCAATAGAGAGTTTTAGATTTACGTTCACGGCAAACGTGAAACGGCAGTTGACCATTAAAATATCTTAAAAAGAATCGCAAAAAAGTCCAAGAAGTAGAAAAACAAAAGAATATTTGTCTTTGGTGAGAAGGTTTGTAAAAGGTAAAGTAAAATAAAGGAAAACTATGAAAACGTGGTCACGTTTGCCGTTTGCGGAGAGAAAAGTCAACCGGAGCCCACGTTCCTCTTGATCAGCGCGGGAAAAGGTTTTTTTTGTTGCTGACCAAGAGGAACGTTGGTTCTGGGTACGAGATTGGTGACGTACAAGCTGCGAAAACACGAGACGGATCGTACCCCTTACATTTACGTCTCTACCACGCCCTCATAAGACCCTCCTCCTGGAATTTCTCAAATCACCACACATTCCCAATCAAAAACAAGACAACAATGAGAGTTTCTATATACATAAATATATGTATATAAAGTTATATTAATATAATGATATCGATATATAGTTTATTAAGTATTATAAAAATAGAAATACTTTCTGATTTCAGTATGAGTAAATACATTTGTTGCAAAGTTATTTTTTCTTCTTAAAAAAGTCAGTAGAAAAAGCCCCAAAATCACTAATTTCAAAAAATAATAAGCTTACTCTTTCCCCCTAGGTCTTCGAGCTCTGAAGATACTTATAAGCTCACTCCAAAAAATGGAGTATTAGTATAGACAGACACGTAGAACATAAATACATAGACTACAGTATAATAAGAAGAGACTCGTAATATAAAGCCAATATCTAAAGGTTATAGAAATTCTTTATAGTAGAAAAGTAAAAAAAGATTTATCGGATAAAAAGACATTTTTTTGGGACAAGCTGGATTTTACATTGATTTTATAAGCTCGTTTGTTTTCATGTGCTGATTTTCTAGTTCTAAAGCATGACTTTTTACTGAGAACTATTGCTTAGACACTGAGAAATTCAACCATCCATGGAAGACTTGTTGGACGACACATCATGAAATCCGTATTCATCCAACATGGCGGCCAAGATATCACATTAAAACCAATATGGTAGAACATGCGCAACTGATTCTTATTCAGTCTAATTAGCAGACCCTTCCTAAGTTTGCAAACATGATGCATCGTTGTCTAGCTTGAGTACGAACACCTTTCGTCCGTCATACCTTATATGGTGTTGTCTGTATCCAAGGTAGACCACAATGCACCTTGTTTGTCAAAGTCAAAAAAGGTCCAATTTTAGACTACCTGACAAATATTCTGGAGTAAATCTAGATATTCATCAGGTGACCAGGAATGTTTTGGGCCTCGTCACAAGTCAACTTTAAACTAAATACACTCCTAAATAAACACCAAAAATTAAAAGAGCATCTTAATCTTATCTACAGTTATTCAATGAATCAAAAAAAATACAGGAAGCCAGATGATTGCTCTTTTAATTTTTAGCATATTTTTTTAGCAGTGAACTCTACGTTTAACTCCTTTTTACTCTACAATAGAAGCAGATTATAGAACTATTTTCAAGATAGAAACTGCGTCAAAAAATAGTTTATAGAAAATAGCAGAGATAACCCTTATGTAGTTTTCTGCGGACTGACAATCTCTCAAAATTTCTGCACGTGATTAAATTACGGCCACAAAAATATACTATTCACATTCTGAAGTTCAAATATATAAGTTCAGTAAAGATCACTAAAAGACGATACTGAAAACACTGTATTTTTTAACAACGCACACTAAGAAAACAGACAAATTTGGGGTTGATCTTAGAACAAGCCCAAATTGTTGCAGATTTTTGAACAATTGCGCAAACACTAAAAAAATATATTTGTAATATTTTTTAGCCTGATGTACACACCTGGTAAAAACCCTCTAAAGTCTGCTTCCCAACTTATCGTCCTTCAGTTACCACAGCTGTTAATTTATACTCTTCCGGAATAAAGTTTTTCGTTAGGTTCTAATTGTTTTTGCATTTCATTATTTTCGTCTCCAAGCGACCTTCTGCGTCTGCGCGAGGCCGATCTCTGAGCAGCAGCTTTCTGCGCTTGACCAGATATATCAGACCGCTGACGCGTCATTTTGAGGTAGCGTTCACTGTGCATTTCTTCTAAGAGTTCGGCAATGTGTTGTGCGTTAGTTTCCAACTTGTGAGCGTGCTTTTCCCTTGTGGGTTCTTTAGATGTACCCCCATGCCTCGTTCTGGATGGTAATATAGCTCGTCCAGAATTGTCTCGATTAGGGTATGTTTTGGGTTTTGGCGCGGCGGGCTCACGGTTCATCACTTTTGGCGGTACATGACTCCTTGCTGCCATTGCTGCGTATTTTCCTGGTGCCTTTTCTGCTGGACCTGCCGGCTTTGGAGACCTCGATAGATTAATGTTTACCTCAGATCGCGAGTTTCTGGGGCTAGAATCAGTCACAGAACTACGAGGGCTGTCAGAGAATGATCCTCGACTGCTCCCTATAGAGTTCCTTGGGCTTTGGTTTATCGTGATTGAGCTTTCTTCCGTTCTCGCCTTCACAATAGGGGAATCCTTATGCACAACTCGTTTTGAAAGACCAGAATCTACACGAGCACTTTGGTTTGGCGTAGAATACACTTCTCTTCTCCCAACACTACGCTGGTCCTTCTTGAATTTAGAACCATTGATTTTAAATTCTTTGAGAGCCACAGGTGTTGCGGTTTGGACTCGACCCATTTTAGATACTCGCTCGCTTGGCAATACTTTGTCCTGCCTCTTGTCACCCTTGGTGTTTCCAACGCTGATGACAGTCTTTGTGGTTTCTTGTGTCGATGAAGGGCGTCTATCAGCATTGCGCGATGGTGATTTCATTGGAATAACTTTTTCTGCGCTACCTTTTCTTTGCTTCGTTTCGATCTGGATTGAAGTCCGCGTCTCGCTACCCTGCACGTGCGTGGAATCTGAAGAGAACCGACGTGGTTCGGAATGTCTGTTCTCCGTAGAAGACCTTCTTTCAGGGGTTGATAAAGCGAGGCTAGAGTTGCTTCCGCGCACGTCTTCATATGATTCTCGATCAGAACGTTCGTCTGACTGACGAAGCTGTTTCTCAGTGGATATCTTTCTCGGGCGCTCACTACTCACAGAAGATGAGTCCTCCTCTTCTGCTTTCTTTTGACTCTGTCCTTTGAACGAATAATCCAAGTCGAGTAATATCCGCAACTTTTCGTCGAACGTCTTGGACATACTGAGAGCCAAGTCTCCTTCATCTTCACTAGAAGAATCGCTGCTCTCAGACTGCATTGTTGGCCTAACGCGCAGACCCTCTGCGGTGTTTCTTCTGGCTCGGATATCCGAGCTTGAAGGGCGCCGTTTTGCCTCACTATTGTTGGATACGACTCCTTTACCTTGAACTATCGTTACTACAGTTTCACAAGAGGTTTTTGACGTTTGACTTGTAGCAGTGGAATCAACAGACTGTGTGTTGACAGGTGGTGTGGAAAGATGGGGTGACGACAGAGACGCCTTCCAACCACCACTAGAAGTAACTCGAGTACCCGGATAAGATCCTATGTTCTTGCGCCCATCTCCATCACTCGGTGAACCCGATGGAAGGTGTAGGGAATCCAAAGATGCGGTTTTACTACTTGGACTACTGCTACTGCGACTTGTGTTACTGCTGCTTAAATGCTCGGTGCTGTCTGACACGTCATGGTCGGTATTCTTGGGTGGGGCAAGTAATGATTCGTGGGGTAGTTCCTCGTTCACATCGGCTTGAAAGTGAGTTACCCCTACATTCCCCTCAGATTGACGCCTCTTTTCCAGTGCTTTTTGTTGCAGGCTCACCTTGAGGAGCCGTAATCTCGTTTCTTCGCTCAAAGAAGCGAATGTTGGTCTAGACGGATGACCAGTATTATCCATGTCTTGCGCCACCTCCATCTCTGCCTTGTTCGTTGTCTCATTCGATTCAACTCCGGGATGACCAAATGTAACGTAAATTGGTACAGGGTCCTGATGATGATCTCCTGAAGGGCTCGCTGGCATTCTCTGAGGACCAACTTTTCGGTACGAGGGGGGAGGGGGACGGGCATAAGAGTAAGCCTTTAAGGATGAAGTACCTCTGGACTTGGAGTCCGCATCGACCACTTCAATGACATTAGCCATTGAACCTGTTGATAACGACGAGAGATCTGCACTCTTTTTCGCTGCAAATTTATGGCGCTCTTGTGTTGGTGAACCAGGGCAAGACCCTGTGCCTGAGATTCTTGGCGGTACTCTATCTAAAGTTGGTGATACGCTACCATCAGAGGTGAGAGCCTCAGGAGAAGAACTGTCGTGGGACTCACTTTTGTGTTTGCCGCGGAACTTGGGAATATGTAATGATATATGAGCCAGTCCACCAGACTGTTGGGTAAAAAGGAATGAATAAAATAAAGTTTCCATTAAATATTACTGTAGTAGTACTAAGAGATAGTTTAAATTTTAATATTCGTAAAGCTTGACCGCCTTGCCGACTGAATAGACCTCTTGCATGTGACGTCAAAGGAGCTCAATTTGGAGGACAAGACAAAAGAATTTCAATCTTCTGAGATTGGAAACCTATTGTTTTGTCCTCCAAATTGAGCTGCATACCGAAGTGCCGCAAGGGGTCTAAAGATTTGCACCACTGTAGACTAACATTAGGCGCGCTTCAGTAGGAGTTTACGTGTGCATGAACAACGACTTGTATGACTCCAGTTATAGGAATACGTACGACTGCCACGTGAGGAAGATCTATTACTTATGGCAACTTATATGAACCAATGAGATGCGTTGGGCACATAGTTGCACGTGTGCTGGCAATCAAGATGGGGGGAAAATAACATCCACAAAAAAGCAATTAATCATAACATACCTTGGATTTCATATTTCCATCATCTACTGCAAAGAAAAAGATACAATGAACCTTAAATATTAATTTATGACAAAACAGACCAACTGTAAAAAGTAGCTGATGTTCTCGGGCAGAAATATCAGAAGCAGTAGTACACGCAAGCGCGACGGAGTGGAAAAATTATGAGATATTCTAAATGCAGAATACTTGGAGAAAGAGAGATTGAGGTCTTACCGAAGTTTCCGGCTGCTTGACCAAGAGAAGATAGTACACTCATCGAAACAAAGTGTTCTTGTCCTTCTTCATTTACTGGAGGCTGAATATAAAAACCACATGCCTTTAAAACAGACAGCCCGACCAACCGTCTTCTCCAAGCGACCTCCTCCTACTAACTAAGGCTCAGGTGAAACGTCGAACTTTACATGAGCCGAACCTAATGACATCAATTAGGTTCGGCTCATGTGAAGTTCGACGTTTGACCTGAGCCTTACTCTCCAATCGTCTCTCTGGGATTAATCTTCTTTTCAGTCAGTCCTTCAAATGCTCCTGCCTCTTCCTCCGACCTTCCCTAACAAACAATACTTTCCTTACTTAGAAAAAAACTCTCCATCATCCCTATATTCCCAAGTTTAATCTCTCACTCTTACCTTCCCTTTCCCGTAACACACGTATATCACACTCTATACGAGGAACTCTACATCCCTTCCTCTCTGTGGCCATTCCCCCTTCTTTCCCCTTTCTGTATGTTGGTTGTTTCTAACTATGTAATGGGTGGCCTAATAGCCGGCACGTAACAAACCTTGGGGGGAGGATCATCACCATCACCGCCTTCTTCAAAAAACCATTCATTCTAAACGAAAAACAAAACACATAAGGCTACAAGTGAGAAACAAGCACCATGTGTCTTGACCATGGATATCATGGTATATTAACACAGGGGAATATCTTACATGAGTCAGTAGAGTCTCCACAATAGGACACTGATCTGACATGTCTTTGACCATGGATATCATGGTATATTAACACAGGGGAATATCTTACATGAGTCAGTAGAGTCTCCACAATACGACACTGATCTGACATGTCTTTGACCATGGATATCATGGTATCTTCTCCTGTTCGTACCAGGGTAGGTCCAAACACGATGGCTAAGTTACGAGCCTCCATCTGTAAATAAACCAAGAAATAAACCACATAAATGATTTTCAATATTCAATTACAAAACGTCTCAAGCAAAGTCCCGAAAACTAAATAAAGGTGTCGAGATCGCACATATGCGAAATTCGAGTCAATATTTACAAGAAACGACACTTTACTCACGAGATTCTACCTTTTTACGGAGGAAGAAATAGCACAGAAAATGTTTCCACTTAGTACTCGTAGAGTTTGGGACAAGAGGTTGCCCCTTAAAATACACATGTTAGAATAGCATGGAGGAACCAGCGTACCTTATTCTTCTCTGTGTTGTCTGAAACTCTCTTCAAGTGCGCCAATAGATATTTCAGGGTCTCGTAGTTGTGCTCTGGTAAATCGTTGATCTAGGAATGAGAACATTCATCTTGCTTACGATACAGACAGACAGATTCATTTATTTGGATTTTTGCACTATTGATCACATAAACTTTTGTCCAAATAGACTAAATTCCATCGATACTTACGATATTATCAAGGTAATTAATCTGACCTCCCTGGCATTGTTATATGCCAGCATGAGTAAAGCGAATGATCGGAATGCGGTTTTTTTCCTTTATTTTTTTCGTTTGCTTGTTCGTTGTTGTTGTTTTTATTTATTTATTTTTATTTGGTTCAGGGTGCAAGCCGTAAATCTAGTCAGTGTACTTGTCCTCAGGGTCCCAGTGTTCAGTGCAATAGTTCAGAATTTTCAGCTTGGGAACAAATAATACCCCCACCCCCTCCCCCCCTCACGCAACTTTGATGACCAATGGAAAGGTAAGGTCAAAGGGATGTTATACCGTTCCCTATGAAGGGGATAAAGGCCTAACTAACTGCATGGTTCAAGCAAGAACTAGATATCAATTCAAAATAATTAAGCTCACCAGACATTTGAGTGCCCACATACGTTCCACAGGGTCTTCTTTCTTATTAGCCTCGATAAACGGTTCGTACAGTTCTAAAGACAAAATAGATAACTCATTAGACCATCCTCAAATTAACAAATAAAACAGCTTTTTCCGTGCTCCGTTCAGTAATAAAGCACGCAGGAAGTGACGTAAGAAAGAAAGAAGTGTAAGGAGAAGACCGAGCCGTAGGTGAGTGATTCTCACACTTCTTGAGTGCTTACCGCGCTTCCTGCGTGCTTTATTACTGAACGGAGCACGGAAAAAGCTGTTTCATTCGTTTTATTATATAGTTACTAATTTTAGTTCTGTATGGAATTTGTTTACGCAAAAAGAAAGACGGTCGCAGGATCTAGCAGCGCGCGAAGATGGCGTCAGCACTGTGCTCCGTTCACTAATAAAGCACAGTTTTCGATCAATCAGCGCGCGCGTACTATCTTAACTATATAATAAAATGTTATGAATAACAGAAGGTGTTGCGGTACCTGCGGTTATCAATCCTTCGGGGAGTTTTCGTAGAAACTGCTTGAGCAAACTGGTAATGTTGTTCACGTCGTGCCATTTCTACGATAAAAACAATAAAGATTACCATGGTTTACCAAAGAAAATGTTAAAAAAGGTGAGAAATTGCAAAAATTTAGAGAACAAGGAAATTAAAGGATTCGAAAATTAGTCATGCTGTTAACGGAACTTCTGATAATGGCGAACAGATCAGATCAACTTTAATTTCATTTAGTATTTTCCCACTAAACTACGTGTCATTTTCTTGAGAATAAGATTCTTTGTTTGAATTGTATCCACATCTATGTGTCTTCTCATGTGCAACCGTTAAACAAAGAAATGATACTCTAGGGAATGACACGTGGTTTGTAATGGGAAAACAGTATGCTAAAGCTAAGGAATCTCCGTTGCCACAATTCAAAAACTCCTGCTCTTTATTTTCTCATCGTTTAATGTGTTCAGTACAATCTAGTCCTCTTACCTCTTCCTCAAAGTTAATATTTTCAGCTCCCCTGGTGTTGATTTCATCGTGTAGTAAGGACACCGCTGCAGAGTTTCCAGGAACTCTACAAAAACAACGAAAACATGCTTAACAAACCTTTCGGGAAAACTTTTAGATGAGTCTTTTTCAACGGTTTTCATGCATACAAATTTGACTACATTTGACGTTTTACGTCACCTCTGGTGCATAATAATCGTAATGTTTCTAGTATTTTATTTTCATCGGTCTCTCACTGTACTCATATGTGACCAAGTGGATGTTGAACGGCCAGTTTGTTTTCAACCAGTTTTCAACTTGGCTACACATATATAAGTTACGGGAGCAGACCTGGCGGAGCCCTCCAGAGAACCAAAAAAAGGGCAATGGAGGGAAGGGTAGGGGAAAAATAGACTAGGAGAGCAACCGCAGGCCAAACAGTTACTTAAATCAAGTTAATCTAGTTTTCTTCGATGTTAGAGTAGTTGTCTATATTTACCTGTAAACACCAACATTATCAAGGCCTTTAAGATCCACCACTTCACAACAATGTTCTACCAAAATAGGAACACACTACAAATAAAAGAGGACAAGGAAATTATGTACATGCCCAGGGGTAATTGTCAAACCTGAGTTTTAAAGTAAATTATTTAATAATTAAAATAAACATAATTTAAAGGATAAGAAACGTTTTTAATGAGTGGTAGTGAAACGGTCCAACAGGCTTTGCTTAGAATATATTTGGGCATCCCCTTCAAGGATCCGCCCTTGCATACTATTGGCTCAGTATAATACACCTTAAATCTTAATGCTTTTTTCTAACGAATTATCGTTTCTTTTTCTCTTTATTAAGCAGGTTTAACATTGTCGACGGTGCCTGAAATTGCGCCATCTTGGGTCCAGGTCTTTCCTTGTCGAGTCTATCCCCTACCCTACCCCCTACCGCTACCGCTACCCCCTACCCTACCCCATCCCTACTCCACCCCCCTGCCCCATCTCTATCGTTACTTTCGTAATAAAGACGGCAAATATAGTGATGCTTGTTTTGTTACCTTATTGACTTTGGAGCATGGACATAATTCAAGAGGCACACCTATGGAATGACCTGCAAAAAAGCAACAGAGAATCAATAGGTTGCACTACAACAACTGAAATTAAAGCCTGAGTAGAGACTTACCCGGGACAAAATTAGTGATATTTGGTGATTGCTTCTTTCGTTTCTTCTTGTGCCATTGGTTATTTTTATTACTTTCCCCTAAAACGCATTACAAGAAAAGTCAGATAAAATAACGAGAAACTTGGTCTTTTAGTCCTTTAGATTGACGACATTTTTATAATTGAATTATAGCTAAAACTCGAGATAGGGATCTAGAGATCTAATTTCACGTAAGTAAAACCACAGTGTCACAATGTCTTTTTCCTATCTAGGAAGGCACCGAGGGCAAGCAGGTTGGCCGAACTTTCGCTCCAAGATTCCAGGTTTCCAGTTTATGCATTACTTTTGACAAGAAGAGTCGAAATCTTTGCAAACTTGTGTGTTGTTCCATGTCAGGATAATAAAATTTTACAAAATATTTCTGGAGGTCCCGTGAATGTGGTGGAAAATCTTCGCTCCAAAACTCCCTCGCTCGCTCCCCCTACTCTAGACCACGCCACTGCAGGACACGTCCGTCCGTTCGTCCGTCCGTCTGTCTGTCTGTCTGTCGCCTGTCTGTCGTCTGTCTGTCTAGTCCTAACTGGCTTTAAAAAAAACAAATACTCATAGTAAACCAGAAGTTCAATGACAATACCTTTTTGTATACCAGATATATTCTTGAATGATAAACTTTTCTTGAGGTTCGAGAAGTTCGGCATCTTAGCACTACTGCCGGCAGGTGTGAGCTTGTGTGAGGTATTATGTGTGGTCCTGGTAAACAAATAACACAATGACTTATATAGCATACTGGATGTATACGATAGATATTATTCAAATAACACGACTAAATGTGTTAGCCTAAATACCAAGTTTAACTTCGTATGAGCCGAACCTAATGACATAAAGGAAGATCGACTATTCATTATCCATTATTTTCAATGCGTACGGGTCGGGTGGAGTTCGACGTTTGACTCGAGCCTCTTTCATTTTTCAGGCATCTATTTTCCTGTTTCCTTTTAGAGTGCAGTCAAAACTATAGGAAAAGAAATGATAACGTACCCCGTAGATTCCTGTTCCACATTCCTCATTCGGCGAATGATAAGACTTTGGCTCGTTACTCCAGACTCCTATAAAAACACGAGAAAAAGTTAAATGAATGAAATCAGAACAGAAAAAAATGGGATAACTATGAAATGGAAGGGGGAAAAACAAGAACACATATTTGATTGCGTATCAACTCTATATATAGACAAGAAATAAGGTTCTTTATACAAGGTGATTTCGCTTCTCTCAGCTCGAACGAATTAGCCAATCAGCGAACATTTAGTTCGCAGCACAATCTTTCCTAATTCCAGGTTTTCGGCTAGATAAACAACAGCTTTAATTTGAACATGAAAATAAAATAAAACTCATCCGTGAAAAGATTTATCAATTATATTTTAGAAATAGCATTTTTCGTCGTTGCTGACGTAATAATAATAGAAAATACTAGAATATACTTAACAAATAAAACAGCTTTTTCCGTGCTCCGTTCAGTAATAAAGCACGCAGGAAGTGACGTAAACAATAAAGAAGCGTAAGGAGAAGCATGAAATATAGGAGAGTGTTTTACACTTCTTGAGTGCTGACGGCGCTTCCTAAGTGCTTTATCACTGAACGGAGCACGGAAAAAGCGGTTTTATTCATTTTATTATATAATTACTAATTTTATTTTGGTATTGAATTTATTTACGCAAAAAGAAAGACGGTCACAAGATCTAGCAGCTTATCGCACGCGCGGATGGCGTCAGCACTGCTCTCTGTTCACTAAATAGAGCACAGTTTTCGACCAATAATTATTTTATTTATTCATTTTGCCTAGCAATGCAGTGCGTGCCTAGATTCCAAATCACCTGGTATATTGTAAAGCAAAAAAATACCGATTGAAATACCTACATCATCATCAGGGTTGTTGTTGGCTTGAATTGCTTCTATCCACTTCATCATGGAAGAACGGTCTTCACACTGATCAAAGGAATTAAGACATCGAGTTATTATAATAGGGGTTGCGCTAGGAGTTTTCAATCCGGGTACTGAGACCCAACGTAATAGCTCACAAGCATTGTGTCGTGGGTGCCAATGAGCCATCCTTGACACCCTAAAACACACGTCACATTCATTTGTAGAATAAGAAAAAGGTACGCGCGTGTTGTGTGCAGTTCAAACACGCGAAGATTGGCAGAACACACGAAGAGATGCGTTAGGAAGAGCTGGACGCGCAGTGGAGTGGTAGTTGTATTACAAATCTTACCTGAAAAAGATATTCACATCCATTGAATAGAGTCATTCGAAAGACATTTTTCCTTTTGGTGTAGTCATGAGCGATGTCTACAATACTGGACTTAATACTTATAGGCTGTTGATCGTCTCCTCCATCCCCCTACAAACCAACCAAACATTCGTTATATGAATGACGATGAATTTATAGTGTGTGCAACCATGTGACTCTAAATCCCTTGAGATATGAATAACAATGAATCAGCCGCCATGTTGGTTGATCTAACAAGAGAAGCTATTGAGGAATGCTTTGTTATCGTCAACCAAATGGATGCTATGACGTAACATGCACATGCTGTATTTAGTTTAGCCGCGAACTTTTACCCATTTCAAAGCATGTGTCATTTCCTTGAAAATAGAATTCTTTGCTTTAGAAGTTGTATTCATGTGTCTTTGCAAATGTGCAACCAGTAAACAAAGGAATGATACTAAAGAGGATGGTACGTGGTTTGAAAGGGAAGGCGCATAACTGTATCCACCTCTACGGCTACTTTCAGCCGTCCTCGAATGCAGCCACCTATAGAGGACCATTTTCACGGCAGCCATGTTGTAGCACAAAAACGTTCGTTCGTTCGCTTTCTGCTTAAAAAATATTTCATTTCCAGCTAAGGAAAAGATTTAAAAGAATTTTCCTTACAACATATGCCTGCCGTAAAATCAGTCTAGTGAAGCAGCGTAAGACTAATAGCATCCAAAGATAGGGTTAGAGTAATGCCAATAATTCTATCCACCCCTAGGGGTAAAGTTAGTCTAGTACCATTTTCGTGAGACGAGCTGCTTCTCTGTCCTTGTAGAAGTATAATACGTGTCCCCTTAAGACAACGTACACAGGTTTCCACGAGCGCACACTTGATCTCTACGAAAAAAGCAACAAAAAATAATATTAATAACAAAACATTGCAAATTTGCCTGGCAATATTGATCAGTAGACTGTTAGCGCACGGTATATGGGTTGCAAACATTCCCAAGAGAGTCAAAAGACAAAAGTATTGCGGCCATTTTGGTACCGTTAACAAGGGATCCTAATTAGAATTCTAAACAGCACCAACCCTCCCCCGAGAGGCCGCGATAACGTAACGTGCAATCAAAGAATAGTTATCTCGGATCTTAGCAGACAGACAATGTGTATATGAATACCACTGGGACGGCTTTTGGACGCCTTGCTGTCGTCCACTTGCTTACCGCGGCACCAAAGCATACAACAATTGCGGTAAAGACAAAGTTTGGAGAGTAAACGATGATAGAGTTATCAGATAAATACATACCTTACCACCGCCACCCACTACCAGCTTTTTCCACAAAAACCCTTCTTTGATGGTCTGAAAATAAAATGCTTACATTCAGTTATATTCAAAGATTAGTGCTTACACACTGAAATTCATATAAGAAATTGCAATTTAAATTTCAATCGCCTTTGCAATATTTTTTTTACAGTTCCTTTCAGTGACCACGAATAATAGTTCCCAGTCGAGGTTGTAGTTGCCGCCCATGATAAATAGTTTTACTGTGCGCGGCAACTCCAACCTGGGCTTGGAACTATTATTCGTGGTCACTGAATTGAAATGTAAAAAGGAGTATTCCGCAACTTTGTTGATAGCACTGCTTGATGATCTACACCTCGGCTACGCTAACACTAGGTGTGCAATCATTTTATTAGGCGTTTGCCACAAATCTAAGGATCCTAATTCTAGTGTTTTACGAGGATATCACAGCGGAGAATTAACTCAACTTACATATGATTGACGAGTAATTAGAAGTGCTTTCCCAAACTCCCATAAAAACAATATCAGTTCCATGTCAGTTCTGGGCGTTTGAGTTCAATCTTGAAATTGAGGATTACTATTGGACGGGCTGTTCACGTTAGGTGCTGTTTACACATACCTCCATCATTCCTGGTACAGCTTCCATATGATGCTCATCCTCGCCTTCTTCTTTCATTTCTTCTAATGTAATGTGCGGTGTCTTAGAAGTCGACGGAGAAGAGGTAGCCATCACGTAGGAAATTCTTCTCCCGATGCGAGGAGCAAGGGAATCGTCTGTACCAGTATCACCCTCTACAAAGATCTAAAAGATAACACGAAATATATAAGGAAATAGGAAATTTTGACTTAACAGTAATGGCCGTTAACACGCCCCACCCTCTACAAAGATCTTAAACTAGATAAGACGAAATGGAATATATTAAGAAAAATGAAAAAATGGGAAATTTCCAGTATCACCCTCCACAAAGATCTGAAAGATAAGACGAAATATATGAAGAAAATATGGGAAATTTATACTCTACGGTAATGCCGGTTCATAGAATAAAGTTCTTAGCTAAAATCAACGCTACTTTCCGTCAAGTGGAAAAAGAAAAAGAAAGAAAAACACGAAGTCTATCATATCTACTAAAATCTAGTCAATAAAATGAAAAGCCTGAATTTTTATTCTTTCAGCCATTCACTGTCCATAGCTTAGCATGACGCAAGGAGGAATATCTGAGTTCAGAAGTTATGATATCGAACAGTAACTATTGCAGCAATCACTAAACACTACCCGGTATACCAGACCATACTACAACACAATGTCATACTTTACCATACCCCCTCGTCAAACCACACCACACTAAATCATACTATACCATACTTGATCGTCATACCACACCAGACACCACACCACACTAAATCATACTATACCATACCTCATCGTCATAACACACCAGACACCACACCACACTAAATCAT